ACCAAAAAAGTCCTCAGTGTCCTGCCTGAGGTGACTACCATCCTTTGCACTCACACCGATCATGATGAAGTGCTTTCAGAGGCTCATCATGAAGCACATTAAGACCTGGCTGCCACCCACACTGGACCAACTGCAGTTCGCCTATCGCCCAAACAGCAGATGAAGCCATCGCCACCACCCTACATTTTGCCCTCACCCACCTGGACAATAAAGACACATATGTATGAATGCTGTTCACAGACTTCAATTGAGCACTCAGTGCAATCATTCCTCAGCATCTGATGAGAAAACTGAGCCTGCTGGGCCTGAACACCTCTCTCTACAATTGGATCCCGGATTTTATGACTAAGATACTGAGAGACAGTCCAGATCATTAACAGCATCTCCAACACCATCACACTGAGCACTGGAGCCCCTCAGGTCTGTGTGCTCATCCCACTGCTGTTCACTCTGTTGACTCACAACTGTGCACCAATGCCCAGTTTGAACCACCTCATTAAGTTTGACACAACTGTGGTGGGTCTCATCAGCAAGGATGATGAGTCAGAATACAAAGGGGAGATGCAACAGCTAACGGATTATTTTAGAGTCAGCAACCTGTCTATAAATGTGGACTAAACAAAAGAGATTATTGTTGACTTCAGGAGAGCATGGAGAGAGCACTGTCTACTTAACATTGATGTATCCTCTGTGGAGGTCATCAAGAGCACCAAATTCTTTGGATTCCACCTGGCGGAGAATCTCTCCTGGTCCCTCAACACCAGTTCCATAACTAAGAACACCCAACAGCATCTCTACTGATGCAGAGACTGAGGGAAGCCCATCTCTCACCATCTATTCTCACTACCTTCTACGGAGGGAATATTGAGAGTGTCCTGAGCAGCCGCATCACTGTCTGGTAAGGTAACTGCACCACATCGGATCGCAATACTGTAGAACTGATAGTGGGAACAGCTGAGAACATAATTGGAGCATCTCCATCCCAGACCCTTAATGAAACCCACTGAATCGGCAAAGCCACCAGCATTGTGGAGAACCCCACACACCCCTAACACACACTCTTCACCCCACTGCCTTCTGGCAAGTGCTACCGGAACATTCAGGCCCTCACTATTAGACTGTGAAACAGTTTAGTCACCCAGGCCATCAGACTCCTGAACACTCAGTGGCTGTACTCACACACACACTCACGCATACCTTCATATGGTATATGTCATATGTAGCACCATGGTCTTGTTTCACTGTGAAGACATGGTTGGAATGAAAATAAAGCCACTTGACTTGACACTAATG